TGTTGGAGTTGCCGATACTATCTAGGCAGGGTCAAGGCTACAGTCAATTCTGGATGATAAACCTGTTTGGAGACAAAGCTAAGTGAAATTCCATAATATCATGAGGCCTAGTCATATCCTTCTGGGCAAAGTTAGATTATCCATCTTCAAATCATCTTAGGCGACCTAGAGTGACTAAATTCTTATATAAGAATTAATGATAACATAGAATCATACTCACACCGAGCAGAATTCCAGGAGACCTGACAAGTGAAACCATAAAAATAATTCCTATTTCCTAACCTTTGGATAATAACCGCTCATATTGTCTTAGTGGTATATGGCATAATTTAGGCTGTCTTTAAAGCGAGGAGTTTGATCCAGTTGCCAAATAACACTATATCTCAACTGATAAGGTTGGATCATTGAAATGGTGCACTAATTCTATATTAAATTCTGCGTAGTTACCTCATTGGAAATGCTTGTAAATAGCAGTGAATTACTATCCTTTAATATTGATACTTTTCCACTTCAGATACTGGTCTAGGTCTCTTGATATAGAACTCTTCAATGACAGAGTGGCTACAGGACTAATCTATCTACAAGCCAGGGTCGAAGAGCGTCGACTCAAGACATCAACCGCCAGTTCGAATCTCTCCAAAGAATCTGTTATTGCTTTGGGAGCCAAGACTGCGAAAAATGTTACAGTGGCTGCCATTTTGGCCGATTCCAATTCCTTAGACTATGGGCAAGTCATTTCAGCCACTAAGCAGGGTCTGGCGGTCACAGAGACACGTCCTAAATGCGAAACTAACACGAGCTACGGCTTTTTACTTCCTTCAGTCAATTCAAGTTGCCAGAGTTTAAGCGTCTACAAAGCAGGCCAAAGTACAGCAAATCTGGATAGGGATTCAGAGTTGTTGAATAAAATGAAGGTGAGTTGATTATTTCATCAATAATAAGAAACTGTTTACTTTTCGGTTGCATAGCCCCGATTTAATTGCCAATTTTGTAGAACGGGCGGAATTAATTACTTATTGCATTTATTCCATGCGAAAAACCAATGGAAGTCATCGACAGTTTAGAGGCAGGAAATGGCCAGTTTTTAATTATCTAATGAGAAAAATTGTCTTAAGGAGAAAATAAAAATGGCATGATTGATCGTAAATGCTTGCAGTGAGATGAGCTTTAAATAAAGGAAGGGGCTTAATTATTTAAATCGGTTTGGATATTTTTATCAAAGATGGAATTTCTTCCTTTTGGTTGAGTTGAGATTAATGAAGTTCTACTACTTATCTCATTTGAGTAATGACAATATATTACTGTAAACAATCCCTTATGCAGTGGCTCAAACTTTTCCTAGTCGCGGCGCCCTTTTTCAATTAAAATTTTTCCATAGCGCCCTATCCTAAGTATGACTATTCTTAAGAGAGAAAAATAAATAAAACTCGTGTATCTTCATTATTTTTTTACTTTATTAACATTAAATTAATAT